TGAGGGTCGGAGGTCAATGTGCCGCAGTATCTGCATACGGTGTAAAGGTCTAATTTGACCCTCCGGAAATACTGCGCTTCGACGTGGTACGATATCCTATTATTAGTTTTAGAATCTTTAGTCTTTTTATACGTAGTATATCTTAAAATGTATGATAGTCTTACCTCGTAGCTTAGTAAGGATCATTATTTACCTTAATTAGATTAGCTGATGTTTACGATATGAAATATATAGCATTTATGGAATTTATGGCAGATATGTCATATCTGGCACATATGGTATATATGTCCTATCTGACATATCAGAACATATTAAACATATTCCAAATGTACCTACTAGTATTGCAGAAAGTATAAAAGTTAGACCTCATTCCTTTAAACTCAACAAAGCTTAGAAGAGTTCAATAAGATAAATTCTCGGATTTGAAAAATAAAATACTTTTGCATAAGCAATCCTGATATCATATTTGTTAATTCACAATTACTTCTCTGATTATATTCAAACTGATTTTAACTCTAATAAACCTGAACCAAATCCTTTATGCTCTCTTTTTGCCTTCTACTATTGGAGTTATAGTTAGTTTAGTGATAGGTTGTAGAGATATTTATGTTGAGACTATCATTCTGACCTATTCTCAGATCATAGACTCCTATTTAGCTCTCAACATTTGGTAGTGACTGTGAGATCTGATATAACCCTATCCAAAGTCTAACTTACAAAAAATTAAAATGTGAATTAGCACGGAAATTTCTAATCATATTAAGAAGCCAAAGAAACAACAAAAATATTAGCCTATTGCTAATATTCTAGAGTGCAAAAATTGACAAGAAAATGGAGTTCATGCTGTCTCAGCTAAAATGATAGAGTACAATAAACTAAGCAGAAACAAAGGTAAAAATTAAACTATTGTGGAATACTCAGGCAATACAGTAAAATATTCTACATATATAACCAACTAACTATTAGAGACTACTATATCTTAAGAAGGTTAGAATTCTGCAATGTACTAGATATAATCTTGTTCTATAATTACAACTTAGTAGCAAACTTATCTGAAAACTTATTGGTACTATGAGAATAAATTATCAAAAGGGTTCAACAAGAAGTTGTCTAATAGGAGTTTATAAACAAATTTAGAATTGACTCTAAAATAGAAGAGAAGATCATTAGTACTATTTATGCAAACTAATTCTTAGTATGAACTTGTAACACATCTATAACCTAGAAACAATCTAACCTAAATTTGATATTAAAGTAAATCCAGACTAGGTTATTGATGTTCTAGTATTAACCTCTAGAGAAAATGAATTAAAAAAGTTTAAATTAGCAAATTCAAAAGTAAAAAAAAAAAAATTTGAATTGAACTTATAGAAGTCAAGTGAAAATTAGCTATATTATACTGCACCAAGTTGCACTTTATCTTCATAATAAGTAGAAATCATATTGCTAAAATAGGAGATACTAAAAATTATAGTAAAACATAAGATTTTTAGGCTATAGAATTATTTATGTATTAACTTTTAGTGTAGTATAAATTGAACTAAAATGAAGAGTTTAAGACAAAAATAAGGAAAAAAATGTTCATATTAGCTGCTAGATAAGTCTTAAGAGAAGCTCTAGAATAATATCAAAGTGTATCTTATCTGAGTTTGAATTCTACAATAGAAGAAATAAAATATGAACTTCAAGAATCTAAGAATTTATATGTGTAGAATACATAAATTAATAAGGGGAGAATTGTAAAGATCAAATTTAACTCTCTAGAAATATTATGCTTTGATATAATATAATATCCTATTTTTAGTTTTAGAATCTTGTTTAGTCTTTTTATATGTAATATATCTTAAACATATATGATAGTCTTATCTCATAACTTAGTAAGGATTATTATTTATCTTAATTAGATTAGCTGATGTTCATGATATGATATATGTAGCATTTATAGAATTTATAGCAGATATATTATATCTAGTATATATAGCATATATGTCCTATTTGATATATCAGATATATATTAAATATGTTTCAAATGTATCTACTAATATTACAGAAAGTATAAAAGTGATATCTTATTTTCTTAAACTTAGCAAAGCTCAGAAGAGTTCAATAAGATAAATTTTCAGATTTGAGAAATAAAATATCTTTGCATAAGTAATTCTGATATCATATTCATTAATCTACAATTATCTTCTCTCTGATTATATACAAACTAACCTTAACTCTAATAAATTTAAACCAAATCCTCCATGCTTTCTTTCTGCTTTCTACTATTAGGGTTATAGTTAGTTTAGTAGTAGGTTATAGAGATATTTGTATTGAGACTATTATTCTAACTTACTCTTAGATCTTGAACTCCTATTCAGCTCTCAACAATGAGTATACAGATCTTTAGCTTTTAATGAATTTTTCAGAGATAAAAGAGCTAAAACTCTTTTATATAATAAAAGAGATATAGAAGTTTTAGTAGAAATAAGGAATAAAAGAGAGAAAGAAAGTATAGAAATTAATAAGTTTTAGTTATTTTAGGATATTTAGGACATTAAGATATTAAAATATATTTAAGTATTATAAGTAATAAAAGAGCTATGTAAAACATAGTGTTATTATAAAATCTAATTGTCACTCTGCAGTATTCTGATATTAGTTAATAAAAAGAGGCAGACAATATATACATGAAAGAAAGCTTTTAAAAGGCAAAATATCTAAAATCAAGAGCTTTTGCACTTGTGCTATAGAATATAATATAAAACAATTAGAAAAAAACAAAACCAAAAGAAAAATCATTAAAATGTATGAAATCAAGATAAAAGCTAAAAAAGAAATAGTGAAGAAAAAGAAAGAAACCCTAGTTCTAAAGATAAAGAACAATAAAAAACAGTATTCTGCAAAACCAGATAGTAACAATATGATCTTAACCAGTTGAGCAGATGAACAAATAATGAACATCAAAAGAACTTAATACTAGATATAACAAAGTTGTAAATAAAGAAAATAAGTTAATAGAAAATTTAGTAGACTCTTAAGAAAAAGGTTTAGAAGAATTTTCTGAAATTATATCAGATAATAAACCTAATCTAAATTAGATTATTTAGAATAGAAGAATAGTTTAGAAGAAAAAAATTGAAATAAAAATATACTAAAAGTATAAACACCAAAATTGTAGTCTAGTCTTTTCACAAAACTAATAAAAGGAAAGCAATATACTCAAATTTCTCTTCAAGGAGAAACATAAGCACCAAAAACAATTATGTCCTAATTTTTAATATATCTAACTTGTCAAAATTTACAACTAACATAATAGTATTTGCTTTTCATAATAAGATAGGCTTTGACTTTATTAGAGTAGTACTATACTATACAAAAGAAATCTGCTTATACTTAGAAATAATATTTGTAGACAAACCTACAATAAAGAAGTATTCTGTTGATAGAATTTCTATTTTTAGACAAACAATATTAGGTTTCATCTCAACAAGATCTCAAAAAATATTCTTAACAGTTAAACTATGCAAACTACTTATAATAAATAAAGAAATTATTTCAAATAAAATAAAAGAAACTCTCAAAGGTTTCAAAAAGATAGTTTCAATTAAACTTTTGTTATATAAGAAAACTCTAATTCTAACTAACTAATAGATCATGATATTAATATAATACAAAACACAAAAGTATTAAACAGAATACCTAAATATAGCAAACTACTTAAAATAGATAATAACTAAAGTTGTATATATAGCTTATTGTATACTTTTTATATAATTACAAATAGTAGAAATTATCAATATATAATTCTATTTGCAATACTAATAAAATTTTTTTAGCAATATAAGCTATCTTTAACGACAAAAAAAAACTTAATAGAAAAAACTTTATTTAAATATTTTAAATTTTAATTTTAAAACTATTTATTCTTTTATTTATATTAATAGTAATATTACTCAAACAATTTAGGATATCTAAAACTAAGCAATATTGCAAAAACTATATGATATATACTAAATTATTACTTAGTTTAGAATATTACAAATTGTTTAATTATATTTAATACTAAGATATATAACAATAACTAAATAATAAGAATTAGACTTGAGTAAAAATTACTACTATATAAATACTTAAAATATATAGTAAATTGCTTGAATAACCTAGTAATTTTAATAATCAAGCAAAGATTTTCTCAACAGATCCAACCTTTACTAAATAATAATAAAGATTATATAATTCAAAGACTTTTTTTATAATACAATAATGATAACAATAAACTAAGTTTATATTAATTACAACTTATTAAACTTGATTTTATACCTATAGTTGAATTTCTTAATAATTCTAATTTATTAAAGATAATAATAATAATATTATTATTTTTAAGATATTATTAGTAATACTTTTGTAATTTATAATTATACAAAATTTCATATAGCAAAAATAAAGTAAATTATATGAGTATATATCACAAAATAAATATCTTAGAAATAATAATAATGTTATCTCTAAATAATTTATTTTATATGATACTTTGTTACACTAATTACTTCAAAATTTAAATTTATTAAATTAGAATATCAATTATAAATATAACTGATTAATCAAAAACTCTAACTGAAGGGTATCAATTATAGTTATAACCATATCTAATCAACACTATTAACTATCTATTTATTAGTAATTTTTAGTTTTTTATTATGACTAAAATTTTGCTAATATATTGTAAATATTAGCATTTTATTATTATAATAATTTGCAAATATTTTTTAATACTAAAATTATAGTAACAAAATACTAAAATTTGGCAAAATTTAGTACTTTATCAGTATTTTTAAAAAGCTAATTTTTAGCAAATCAAATTTTGAGCATTTTTTGTAAAGTTTGTTGCTAAAACATTTCCATTAGCTTGAAACGAGTCAAACATTTGTCCACAATTTAGTTCTCAAGCAATCTTCCTGTATCTAAAGTTGGCTCATTATTTGTTATCAAAGAATTTCCAATAGAATCTTTAGCTAGCAGACTTTGAATAATTTTTGTACTTCTTGCCTATTGCATAGACGTCGCCATAATTTTTCACCCCATTGTTGATATTCTGTCTTTGATATTGTGCTAGATTTTTTTTTAGGACCTCTCTTAAGTTGTTTAACAAATACACATTTATTTACACGGTTATGTTCGATACATTTCGCACAGGGACTTTTACCATCGCATTTAATCTTTCTTGATTTGCAGGGAGTACAAGCCGCAGTATATTTAGTAAGACGGCGTTTGGGATTCATACTCGAATTATTAGGATTATCATTTAGTTGAAGTATATTCGAATCAATTTTGATATGTTCTGAATTAAAGGATGTCGTGGTTTGGAGATCCATGGTAGTTCTGGGACCCATAGCTGAATTGGTAAGAGATGATAATTGATTCGTATCCATCAAATCTGATGAAGTATAAGACGAATTATTTGATGTATTATAAATAGTTGGATTTATTGGAAATGTATCCAAAGGATAATAAAGTTCATTTGGCTCAGAAGACACCATAATTATTGGTGGATCTACTGAAGATATTGATCTTGAATCAATTGAATTAATAGATAATTGTGATGTGATCAAATTTTGTTCCTCTACATCTGAAACCATATAATTTGAACTTAGAGAGTGAGAAATATTTGAAAGAGAACCACTTCTATATTCACTTCTTAAACCAACACCGTGTTCATGATTTCGGGCATCTTGTCTATTTTGCATGTTTTCACGACTTGGTGAACGATGTTGTCGACGTCCTATATTAGTGCTTCTAGGTAATCGAGTATCTGGAGACGTTTGATCATTAGTTACTGGTGAATTCTCTACAAAAACTTTGTCTGACCATGACATTGGCACATCATTTATTGTTAAAATATACTCGGAATTTTCTTTTGACGGAATTTCATGAGTTTCTTGGGGTAAGACGAACGTTGATTCTTTATTTGTTGCTAAAACATTTCCATTAGCTTGAAAAGAGTCAAACATTTGTCCACTATTTAGTCCCAACGAGTTCTCAGGCAATCTTCCTGTATCTAAAGTTGGCTCATTATTTGTCATTAAAGAATTTTCAGCTAAGTTTCTATCTGACGGATTTTGGAAGAATTCAGATATAGCTTGCCTATTTTCTATAATATTATCTTAGTTGGGTTTTCTAAACTGTAAGGATTAAGACAATGAAATAAAATACTAATAAAATCATTTAAATATATACCTTCAGGATTTGATTCGCAATTGGTATTTCTTTGTTCTACATTAATCTCATCAGATTCGCTGCTTTGTTTCGAATCAATCTCATCAGATTCACTGCTTTGTATTGAATCACGCTCACTACTTTGAATTGAATTAGGCTCACTACTTTGAATTGAATTGGTCTGACCTAAACCATAATAAACTTTCATTTTAATTAACTGCAGTATAAGAAAATTTAAAGTCCGCTGAGAATAGTAAGGATTTTTTTTTCTTTACCCCTATTAATGTCATTTAGAATAAACTCTACGGTAGTTTCTGCCGATAATTTATTGAGTTCGGCTAAAACTTTATCAGAAAATGGACGTTGATTCGGTTCAGTAGACCAGCATTTCTTGTATAGATTAGCATAGCCCAAGGGTGTATATTCAACGGTTTTCTCCCTGTATCCGGTTAACATTTTCGAAGGAATTATCAATTTGTCAATCTTATTAAACGGTGGAATTCCACTTGTGAGCTCCCAGAATAGTATACCCAAACTATAAATATCAGATTTTTTATCAGGCTTGAATGCCTTTTTTCCACTTTGAATATAGAATTGTGGAGCAAGATATGCAAACATGCCATTCGCACCAGTGCTTGAAGTAGTGTCAGAAGTAGTATCTAAAAATTTTGATAATCCAAAATCAGTGATCAGTGCACTACCGTTATTTATCAAAATATTCATAGAATGCTAATCAAAATTTAAGAACATTGTTAATTTAAGTTTATGCAGAAATAAGAGTATTTAAAAAATAGATCTTACTAAATCTCTATGAATAATCCTTTTATTATGTAAATAGTTTAACCCAAATGTGATTTCTTTTGCAATCCGGATGAGATCAACCCATAAAATTTTATAAATGCCGTTTTTTTGTTTACTTCGCAAATATTCTCGTAGGTTCCCATCAGTGGCATATTGTAACACTAATATAAAATTACCCGTATTATTATCTAAAATTTTGTTTGGGATGTAAGATTAACTTTAGTACTAAAATTTTTTTGATTTTTACTAGGAAAATGAGCTTTTCAATCTAGTAAATTTTTTGGATTTTCATTAAATTCAATTGTGAAATTCTTACTCTTAGAGATTCCATAAAATTTTATGATATTAGGATGATTAACCATATAAAGGCATTTAAGCTATAATTATAAAATATTGTGAACTTTATTTAAAAAAGTTAAGTACTCACGTTTCTGAAGATTTAACAAAATTAAGTACATTACCTCACGCTTAAAAATTTTGAACTCTTTTTCTTCGAAACTCAAGTTAACGTTTAGACTTTTTAATGCATACTTATGTCCTTCAAAACTGGCAGAATATACAATTGCATAACCTCCCGTACCAATACGTTTAATGTCACTACATTGCAAATAATCAAATTGCTTTATCTTGTATTTTTTTAAATAAGTCTCTAATTGTTCCGAATATTCTGGTACTTATGTCACATAAAACAGTTAATGTGTTAATATTTCATAAGGTTATCATTATATAATTAAATTTTATAAGCTGATGCTCACATATTTTCATTGACATTACGTACAACCGACTAACTTTTAATAATATTAGTATTTATTTGTGTTTTGTTTTTTGGAATATATAGATAAGTTAAAATTCAAGATTCTAAAAATATGCATTACCTTTTAAAACTTCTACAGTATACAAATCTCCATATTTGTAGATTACAGATATAAATAAATATGCATACAGATTATGTAGTTTCGAAAAGTAGTAACACAAAATTACTGTGAAGGATGGGGTAACAACGTGATATGTATCACGTGACTAAGTACAAAAAGTTAAATTTGTTACATTTGGGATCCGAAAAGGTAT